TCGTAGGAGGCAACTAAAATGCTGGGAGTAATAGGCTAGTAACCCCTTCAGAATAAATTACTAAAAAAGAGAAGATGAAAAAAAATTATAAGACCGGGATGTTTGAATGTACGTGAATGTAGTGTAGATGGTAAGAACGAGATGCTATTGCTATTGTTATGAATGAATAGAAGTTGGATGTCCTAGCTCTAAGTAAAACAAAGTTGAAGGGAGTAGGGGAGTTTCAGTGGGGAGAAATAAATGGGATTAATAAGTCATGAGTATCTGAAAGAGTTAGAACTAAGTAAGGGGTAGCAATAATGTTGAAGGATCAATTGTGGAAAGAGAAGAGGGAATGTAAATGTATAGATTCAAAAATTATGTGGAATAAAATAAAAGTCGGATGTGAAAAGTGGGTTATAATAAGTATGCACCAGGAGAAGAGAAGTGCAGAGGAGAGAAAGATTTTGGGACATAATAAGGGAACGTTTAGGAATCTTTGAACCAAGTAAGAGAGTAATTGTGATAGGAGACCTAAGTGCTAAAGTGGGAGAAAGGGTTAGAGAGGGTGTGGTAAGTAAGTTTGGGGTGTCAGATGCAAATGATAACAGGAGGGGGGGGGTCCTTTGACTGAACGTTGTGTACAAAGTGGTTTGGATATACGTAATACACTTAAAAAAGGATAAGTGCACAAGATATGATAAAGAGCGTAATGACAGTAGTTATTTGGACTATGTATTGCTGGATGAAACGCTGATGGGTTGACTTCAAGATGTACATGTTTATAGATGGGCCACAGATACATCAGATCACTTTTTAGTTGTAGCTACAGTGAGAGTAAAAGGTAGATGCGATGCAAGGAAAATGGAATCAGCAAGTAAGAGAGAGGGGTGAAGGTTTATAAACCAAGGGTAAGATAAACAACTATTGGAAGGAAGATGGGCTGTTGCAAGTATAGGCAATGGAGATGAAGAGGTTTAGGGCCGAATTAAAAGAACGTAGTGTCAGAGTGTTCAGCAGAAGTTCGTGGTTACAGGAGAGCGGGTGTGGGAGGGAAGAATAGTGACTGGTGGAATGATGAATTAAAGAGAGCAGCAAGAGAGAAAAATTTAGCATATGAGAAGTTTATACAAAGTAGAAGCGATACAAGGAGGGAGGAATGTAAGGAGAGAAAAAGAGAGGTTAATTAAGAATGTAAAAGGAAATGAGAGAATGTAAAAGCAAATGAGAGAATGTAAAAGCAAATGAGAGATTGGGTGACATACAATCAACAACTTTTATTGAGAGTAAGAAAATTTTTTGAGATTAATAAGTTGAGAAAGCCTAGGGAACGAATGAATGTGACAGTTAAAATAGGTCAGGAGAGTTATAAGATGGAGAGTTAGAGGAATTGGGAAGATGGAAGGAATATTCTGAGTTACTATTAAATGTTGACGAAAATAGTGAAGCTGTGATTTCGTGTATTTGGCAGGGAGGAATGACATCTTGACATCTTGTAGGAGTGAGGAAGAGTTAGTTGTGAATGTGGGGGGAAGTGCGTGAGACAGTGGGTAGAATGAAAGAGAGTAAAGCAGCTGGGATTGATGGGATAAAGAAAGAAATGATAAAAGCAGGTGGGGATATAGTTTTGGAGTGGTTAGGAAAAAGGTAAGGTCTCTAGGGATTGACAGAGAGCATGCATAGTACATTTTGTATAAAGGCAAAGGGGACAAAAGAGAGTGTAAAAAATATAGGATAATAAGCCTGTTGAGTATACCTGGTAAAGTGTATGGCAGAGTTATTATTGAAAGAATTAAGAGTAAATTAAGGAGCAAAATCGCAGATGAACAAGGAGGCTTTAGGAAGGATAGGGGATGTGTAGACCAAGTGTTTATAGTGAAACATATTAAAGAATAGTATTTAGTTAAGGATTAAGAGGTTTTTGTAGCGCTAATCGATTTGAGAAAGGCATATTATAGCGTGAATAGGGGAGCAATGAGGCAAAAGGTTCAAATGTCTGAATAGGAGGTATGTTACTAAAAGCAGTGAAGAGTTTTTTCGAGGATAGTGAGGTTCAGGTTACAGTACGTAGGGAAGAGAGGAGAGAGAGAGGAGAGAGAGAGAGAGAGATGAGAGAGAGAGAGAGAGAGAGAGAGAGAGAGAGGGAGAGAGAGAGAGAGAGAGAGAGAGAGAGAGAGAGAGAGATTATTTCCAAGTAAAAGTAGGTGTTAGACAGGAAGCGTGATATCATGGTTGTTCAATATATTTATAGATGGGGTTGTAAGATAAGTGACTGCCCGTGCGTTGGAATAAGGTGTGCGATTAAAAGATAAAGAATCTAACACGGAGTGGAAGTTGTCACAGTTGCTCTTTGCTGATGACTCTGTGCTCTTGGGAGATTCTGAAGAGAGGTTGCAGAGGTTGGTGGACGAATTTGGTAGGGTATGTAAAAGAAGGATAGTAAAAGTGAACATAGGAAAGAGTAATGATGAGGGTATCAAAAATATTAAGTAATGAAAAATTGCATATCAAATTGGAGGGAGCATGGAGGAAGTGAATATATTCAGATATTTGGGAGTGGACCTGTCAGCAGATGAGACCATGAAAGACGATGTACATCATGGAACTGATGAGGGAGAAAAGGTGAGTAGTGCACTGAGGAGTTTATGAGACAAAGAATGTTATCCATGGAAGCAGAGATGGGGAGTGTATTAGGGTGCAGTTATATCAACGCTCTAATATGTATGAAGCATGGGTTGTGAATGCTGCAACTAGGAGAAGGCTGGAGGCAGTGTAGATGTCGTGTTTGATGGTAATGTGTGGTGTGGATATAATGCAGAGAATCCATGGTGTGGAAATTTGGAGTAGGTGTAGGCTTACTTAAAATATTATCCAGAGGGATAAGGAGGAGTTGTTGAGGTGGTTTGGACATTTAGAGAGGATGAAACAAATTAGAATGACTTGGAGAGCATGTAAATCTGTAATGAGGTAGAGGATAGCCTAGGAAGGATTGGAAAGAGGAGGTAAAGGAGGTTTGGTGTGCGACTTTAAACAAGTGGTTTTTATGACTTGACGTGCTGTTGGAGTGTGAGCAAGGTAACATTTAGGAATAGATTTAGTGACACTGGCAGACCGGACTTGAGTCCTAGAGGTAGGAAGTACAGTGCCCGCACTCTGAAGGAGGGTGTTGATAAGCTGCAGTTTTATAACTATTGTGTAACCGCGCTTCTAACAAGACAGTGATGATGAAAGTTTTTTTTTCTTTTTCGGGTCACCCTACCTTGGTGAGAAGTGGCCGATGTGTTAATAAAAATAAAATTTTATTATATCATTCACATACAACGTGAGCTATGAGTTCTGCTAACATTTCCATGCCTTGTTTTGCTCGATGATATTAATTAAATAAGGTTTGGCTGTCTTAGTTATTTTGGAAATGGTTCTGTCTTCTTCCTTATACAACTGCAGTGCTGCTCCCAGGTTCATTTGGGAGAGTAGACTGCAGTGAATGACACAGACTTTGTTGGTATACTTCATGCTGCATGCGTATCTGTGTTCCTGCAGGAAAGTCTGGAGGTTATGTCCGATTTCATTACTGTAAACTTTGCTGTATTCACCATATGGAATGCTTTTGTGTCTGTGAGATACAGTGATATTTTTCATGGCTTTGATGGTTACGACAGCTATGTCCATGTGGCTTTACGGAAGATGGAAGGATATAGTAATGGGAAACTGCCTGTGGAGCAGACAGGACATTAATAGATGTTGGAGGTTTCCGTGAGAGTGGCGTGAATGAGAATGGAATTTCTTTTTGAAAGAATTGATGATATGTAGCATAAACGTAAGGGTGGTTAAGGCGTCCGTAAAGTTTTTCTCTCCCTCCTTTATATTTTTATTTTAACTTGTCTTCAGAAAATGAAAATTGTATTATGATTCTGGTGGAGAAATAATGTATCAAATCATTCTTTATTCGTGGCTTTTTCGTAAACCATGTGTTTGAAAGTATTCTCATCCTTGATAAGAATAGTGTCTAGTATGGGTAACGTGTTATTCCTTTCCTTCTCAACTCCATCTTCTGTAAGGTTGACATGACAGTAGTTGGTTACGACAAGACCTCATTCATTCAAAACTTCATAGACCCCAGAGCACCACCTGGGCAAGTGTTAACATCACTGTGTGTGTGGTGAAGCAAACGTGACCTTCAGACTCAGGACAGGAACACAAATATGCAGGCAGCAGGAGGATATAGTTCATTGCTGCTTACACTCCCGCATCATTAACTGAGGAATAGCACTGCAGTAGTGTCAGGTGAGAACTAAGACCAAGATACTGAACAGAGCCAACAGTTCATTAAACTAATATCATCGATTAAAACAAGGGGATGTACATCCTGGAAAGACCCGTTGTATATATTATCCACGATTCAGAAAACAAAAATGTAACCAATATCTTGGCCCCGTTACCCAGTTCCTCTCACCTCGGTGCCTAATGGGATCATTGTTTGCCCAATCCCTCTCCCATTACCTCGCTACTTCAGTGGACCAATTGGTGAGAAAATCTGATCTTGAACTATGGACCACAACACCAGTACAAGAGTACTCACCCATCACACTCAGCCTGTACTGGACCACCAGAAACTGAATATTCACTCATAACTCCGGGCCTGTACTATACCGCTAGTAGATTAGTAATCATCCATAACACCCTGCCTGTGGTAGCTCCCCAAAAGATTGATGTAAACACTTTGCCTATATCGGCTTACCAGTAGGTCATTACTAACCCTAAGCACCTAGCCTGTGCTGCCTTACGAGTAGCTGAGCACTTACACATAACACCTAGCCAGTACCACGAGTAGCTGAGTACTTTCATTTAAAACCAGCCAGTTCCTCAATACTCACCCATAGCACCCCAGCCTTTGGTGCACCACCAATACTTATTCATAACAATATTCATAACCAATACTTATTCATAACACCCACTCTGTAATGAAGCATCAATAGCATACTACCCAGTTTGTATTGAACCCCCAGAAGCTGAGTACTCACCCATAACACCTAGCCTGTACTGGATTATCACCAGTACAACATCATGGTTAAGGAGAGCTGATGGGGAGTAGTGATTAGCTGCCCCACCGAAGAAAGCTCCGCCATGGATGTATACCATCACTGGCAGCTCGGATTCGGGGCTCTTATCCTGCAGTATGAAATGTTTTATTTTTTATGAGAACAGTAGAGCATTTGAAAGGAAAGGTGAAAGGAAAATTTATTCTTAAGAGCATGACATTATTAAATATTAAATGAAAAGTAAGTGTATATGTACTAGACGATGAAAGAGAGGTTAATGAATTACATTAGAGCTTAAAATGAATGGTTACATTACGGCTTAAAATAAAAGGTGATGGGTTATGTAAGAATGAGAATGAAACGTTATGGGTTATAATAAGTCGTGAATGAAAGATAGGTAGAAATAAGGCTCTGAAATAACATTTCAAATTAGAATCTCTAGATACTGTATTCATAAGGAAACGTTACACTCGTAAAGATCATACAGCAGACAACTGAAGGAATGAAAGTTTGCAAAGAGACTTAATATTAAAAACAATACGGGAAGGAGGAATGGTGCAAAAATATTCCCCTGAGTCCCTTTTACTAAAAACAAAAAACGCTCACTCTCCTAATCACTAATTTTTAAATTATGAATAGATAAAGACCTCGGTTCTGTGTTAAGATATCATTCATTATTAATAACTTTGCTCTGAGTGATGTCATAATTCAGTTGTGGCTAACACTTGTTATCATTCAGATGAAATATTCAATATGTTTTAGACTTAAATTTTAAGACTCAAAAAATCAAGAATGTCATCAGTCACTGTCTGTTATCTACTGCAGAACATCACTGCATCTCTGAGATATGTTAAAAATAATAAAAAAAATTCCGTTGCAAGTATGGTTTTCGAAAATTGTATAGTAAGAAATACAATTACGTCTAACACACTTTATATGTCTAGCTGAGTTTTCGTACACTCACGAAATAATCTCAAAACAAAACCTGCAAATCAAGAGATCTTTCTAATAACTTCAAAGACAATACCGTGCAGAAATTTAGACTATATTAGAATCAATGACAGTTTCAGGCCTTCAAAAACCCCAGAAACTAAGAAAACATTGAAGTTATGGTGACTCACCGCAGGAGTATAAACGTTGAGGTAAAGGCAGTCCTCAGAGCCAAGGAAATTCTCAGGAGACAGTCTTTGTCCAAGGGTTGCAGCTCTTAAGGGTACCTGAAGACATGGTTGGGGCATCTTCGATCCATCTTTAACACCCACCCATGACTCTGCTGGTACTGGGTCCTGCAGGTAGAAGTTTAAAGATCTGCACATTTTAACACAAATAAGAAGTTAGAAGAGTCAGTGCCAGCAGTGCTGTGTTATGGCAAATAATCGATTACTGCCACAGTTGATCTTGTTACTGAAAATTAACAAATAAATCAAGTAGTTATATAAAATAAAATATTGTTTAATTTCACATCACCTCATCAATTATGAATTTTAAATTATCTGAATTGAAATTTAATTTCATAAACTTGTGCCCTGGTCATTGGGAGGCACATCAAAGATAGTGGAGGTCACGTCAATTGGAACAGAGCAGTGCTATTACTTTAAGTAGTAAGAAACCTGCTTAAAACCCCATACTCCCCTAGAGATTAAAGTACATGTGCGCCTGTGAGAAAGCATGTGCGTATATGCTCCTGTTTGGAGAGATTGAAATCACTTCATCGAAGGAGGTCCAACAAAAGGGTTACTCTCGCGCCATTTTTCTTCTGCATAACTGTTAGGGAAATTGTAGATGAATGGCTCAAAGAACCGACATGTTAAATTAGACACATGTGCATCTCTTGGGTATCTTTATTGAGGAAACGTTTCGCCATACAGTGGCTTCATCAGTCCATACAAAGGATAAACTTGAAGAACAGGACACCACCTACGACTGCTGCACCTCTTCTGCCATACGGTTTATAAGCTGTTTCTCCGCTCCTATGCCGTATTCTATTCAAGATTGATGGACTGACCACATCGACTCAAGGCTGAGGGACTGATTACCTCATTCTCCTCCTGTTCTTCAAGTTTATCCTTTGTATGGACTGATGAAGCCACTGCGTGGCGAAACGTTTCCTCAATAAAGATACCCAAGAGTTGCACATGTGTCTAATTTAACAACATGTCGGTTCTTTGAACCATTCATCTACAATCCTGTCAGACACTGCAACTTCTTGGGATCTTAATACTTGGGAATTCTTCGCTTGCCTAACCCTTGGGCACGACCTACTTCCACATTGGACAAATGTGACACCACTTACGACTGCTGCACCTCTCCTGCCATACGGTTCATAAGCTGCTTCTCCGCTCCTATGCCGTATTCTATTCAAGACTGATAGACTGACCACATCGACTCAAGGCTGAGGGACTGATTACCTCATTCTCCTCCTGTTCTTCAAGTTTATCCTTTGTATGGACTGATGAAGCCACTGTGTGGCGAAACGTTTCCTCAATAAAGATACCCAAGAGTTGCACATGTGTCTAATTTAACAACATGTTAGAGAAATTATTGTCAGGCTGACCAGTGAGCTAAACATCTGGAGTTCACAAGGGTGTCTCTTCTAGATGATCTTGCGCAGGTGATGACAAGGGGACAGGAAATGAAACTCACCCTCAGTCCATCTAAATGTGAAATCATCTCAGCCAGTCAACAAGTGATCTACGCACTGCATGCAATACTATCAGGCGCGTGAATTATTGCTCCCACAAACGGCGTCTTGCTTGGAGGATGTCATTGCTTCAATTCTCAAGAAGAAACTAAATGATTTGAGAAAGATGGAACAATGAATAGGCAATCTTGACACCCACGATGCATTACACCTTTTCGCAAATTACTTGAGTCTACCCAGGTTAATATATTTCCTAAAATGTGCACCCTCATATGAGAATCCTATTCTGCATGAATACGACAATATCTTGAGGCAGATTTTTACAAAAATATCCAATCTTAATCTAGAAGACGGACAGTGGGACAATCCTACACTTCCAGTCAAACTAGTAGATAGTGTATCACAGATTGCATTACCTGCTTTCCTGTCTTCATGTGTGGCACCCAGTCGACTTTAGCAGCGATTCTCCCTAAACACAGGAACAATGATGGAGTACGTAACCAAAAGTTCATTGACGGAGCCAGGCTGTAGGATAATCTAACAGGCTTTGAAACAGGACCTGCTTCCCCCAACAATTAAAAACACTCAACTGAATAGCCCAATAGAAGAGAACATGACCCTAACAGTGTTTCACAGTGTATCAGGGAAGGACAGAGCCTACTTCCTGGCAGTGAGAGCTCTTCATACAGGAAATTTTCTGTCGGCTGTCCTCAGCTCCTCCCATGGCACACGCCTTGACCCACAAACCATCTGCATAGGTATTGCCCTTCGCCTTGCCACCCCTCTTCTCGATAAACACAGGTGTATTTGCGGGAGTGAATCGGCAGACCGATTCAGGTACCATAGTCTTGCATGCTGTAGATCCAAGGGTAATATTACGAGGCATGAAGAGATTACGAATATCATTAAGAGGAGTATTGTAATTTAGGATGCCCAGTAATAAGGGAGGCACCCTAACTCTGTAGATCTGACGGCAATCAAATGAGTGCAGATGGAATTAACCTTCAAGCCACGGAACATGGCAAAAAGGTAGTTTAGGACTACACATGTACATCCACACTGGCTGATATCTATCCCTGATATGTCTAAATTCCTTAAGGAGATACCTGAATTATACCTTGAGAGGTTTCCGGAGGTCAACACCCCTGCGACCTGGTCTGGATCAAGAAGTTTGAAAAAGACTCGTCAGAGTAACTAGGGATCTCAGAACGGCTAGTTTTCTATTCCAGGGACTCAGTGCTGTAGTTTAGAGGAGCAGTACATGCTATATCCTGGGTACGCAAGCCAGCTTTATGGAGGTGGATGAGATTTTTACATAATAATTTTTGACAAACCCATACCAATATGTATGTGTACTTCAACTGTATCCAACAAACCTTATGGACATTATATATGTATATCTATCTATCTATCTATCTATCTATCTATCTATATATATATATTATATATATATATATATATATATATATATATAATATATATACATATATATATATATATATATATATATATATATATATATATATATATATATATATATATATATATATATATATATATATACATATATGCAATAAGATCACAGTAAACAGGTGATTTCAGAATATGCAAAACAACCACTGTGAAATAATAGAGAAATTCCAAGCGCTTTCGTGACTACTCACATTATCAAGGAACAATGAAAGTAAAGCATCAAAGGAAGGTATATAAGGGGTGGCCCACACCTCACTGTCAGATCCCACAACAAAGAAACACCTGACGCACGACTCAAAAGAAAGGGAACACTGCAGCAAGCCCGCCGGCCCAACTAGACAGGTCCTTCACACAACCTACCAACAAACTATTCTACCCAAGAAATAAGAATTTTAGAAATTATTATTTGTTCAATGTATTATTAAATTCTTCCCAAATTCTATTAATTATAAATGGATATAATTTATATAAACCAAAGGAAATATTCAAATTATTGTAAAAAATGCTTTTTTGAAACAAGATAATTATATTCCTATCGCCCAGGGACTTTGCGATTACTACTTCTCAACTTTTTTGAAAATCAATTGGATGGCTAAAATATCTTACATGAATAAATAGAGCTTTGGGAAACTTGCCCATTTTCTAATGCTTATTATTTTGCTTTAAATCTTGTTCGAGATTTTTACCATTTGCCCGAAATAAACTTTTCGCAAATTTTCAAGGAATTTATGACACATCCATAGCATTTTGGGGGGGGAATTCTTTATCAAAATTTTTTTTTTCTGCATCAAGATTTTTTTGAATACAACTTAAAATTTTTGGGAAGACACATATGCAACAGTTAGTATCTTTATTAGAAACGTTTGCCCAACCCGCGGTTTTCAGTCAAATACAGAAAAGTTGATAGAAGCAGGAAAAATACTTGAAGACGATGTAATCGTCCTTCCCTTAAAGTTGAGGGGGCAGCCCCCATCTGGAGAAAAAGCATTGTTCCATTTTATGAAACAATATGGGGATGGGAAAGGGTGGGGGTTTTTATAGCGCCAAGAGGTGAGACGTAGGGGACTGGAAGGTAAGAACTAAGGTTGGAGGGAGGTCCCTCTCAAATCCAGCCGCTTCCCCTAGTGGAAGTTTCGAAGTTGATTGCGGATGTACCAAGATACCCCTTTTGTTTGCAGTGTCTGCAGATTTAACATTAAAAGGTAAAAATCCGACAGGTTGTTAGGAAGCACAATGCAACGTTAGGTATCTTTTTATGAAACGTTTCGCCTAACGTAGGCTTCTTCAGTCAAGTACAGAAAATTTTATAGAACAAAAACTTGAAAGGGGGAAATCGTCCATCACCTTAAAATTTTGAGGTGGTCACCCTCAGTCTGGGGAAGGCATTTTTCCATGTATGAAAAAATTTGGGGATGAAGTGACGGATGGAGCTTTTTATAGGCAAAAAGGTGAACGAGGCCACAGGAGAGGAAAAAACTCAGTGTTTAGAGGGCGGTCCCTCTCAAATCCCGCCCCTCTCACTATGGGAAATTGTCGAAGTTGATTGCAGGTCTTACCAAGATACCCCTTTTGTTGCAGTGTTACAGATTGGAAAAAATTAAAATGGTATAAAATACCGACAGGTTTTTAGGTTTAAAAAACAATATGAACCGTTTTGGTATTTTTTAGAAAAGTTTCGCCTACAAGTAGGCTTCTTAGTCAAGTCAGAAAAGTTGATAGAAGCAGAAGATACTTGAAAACGATGAATCTCCATCCCCCCTTAAAGTTTTGAGGTGGTCAGTCCCCCCAGTCTGGAGAAGGCATTGTTTCCATAGTATGAAACAATTGGGATAAGTGACAGGAGGAGCTTTTTTATAGCGCCAAGAGGTGAGATAGACCACTAGGGGGGGTAAGAAATCAGTGTTGGAGGTCAGGTCCCTCTCAAATCCACCCCTCTCATATCGAATTTTTCGAAGTTGATTGCGGTCTGTCCCAAAATACCCTTTTGTTGCGTGTCTGCGATTGAAAATTTAAAATGGTTAAAATCCGACGGGTTTTTAGGGGAAAAACACATATGCAACAGTATCTTCAAGTTCTTTTGCTTCTATCCTTTTCTGTAATTACTGAAAAAAGCCCACTGTGTAGGGGAAAGTTTCATTATAAAAATACCTAACGTTGCATATGTTTTTTACC